CGAATGGAGGAATATCACCGGGCGACTAAGAGGTATGTGGATAAACAGGCTAAAATCCGTTCGATCGAAGTCGGAGACCTTGTCCTGAGGAATAGAGAGAAAAGCAAACCGCTAGAGGGCGGGAAGATGTCAAAGAATTGGGAGGGACCATACCAGGTCTGGAAAAAATACCGGATGGGGACCTTTTCCCTACAGGATACCGAAGGCTGTCCGGCAGGGATATGGAACGCTACGCACTTGCGGAAATTTTATCAATAAAAACGGCTGTTGCCACCTCTGAAAAAAAAAAAAAAAAAAAAAAGAGGAAAAGAGGGAGAACAATGCTTCCAAAGAGGCCAGAGTTAAGAGGAATATTGCGAGCCGAACGGCATCAACAAGCCGAACGGCATCTCCACAAACTCGGCCAAAAGTCTCACCTTGATCTATAGATGTCATTCATCTCGATCCATGGGGAGCCATCATCTCAGCACAAAAAAAAAAAAAAAAAAAAATACAATGTGCAGGATACCAAGCCCGGACTCAGCTTGGGAGATGATGTAAAAGATCTTGAGTAGGACGAACCGGGCGGCATCCGAAGTCATAGGGTGACCGAGCGGGGGATCGGGACTCTGGTCTTAAAATCTTGCCTTGGCCATACAGCTCGCCTGAACCTTATGGTGGTGAAACCCGAGCTGTATCCTGGAGGCGAGTCTCCATTTTGGCAGAGAATAAGGGGGAGACCCGGATTGGGAGCCTTATTCTCAATGGTCCAGGATGGACATCTCAACCTCATGATATGGATGACCCCGGACGGTAAAACCGACGGTATGCATCGGAATTATGGGCTTGGAAGATGGCAGACACTACACGAATTGTGAAACTGTCTTGCAGCAAGAGGTGATTGCCTTGCGGATAAGGAAAAACGCGGATGATAACCCGAACAGGTTACTTTAGCCTTCAGGGAACAACCAGTCGACGGTAATAAACCGGACGGCATGCATCTGAAACATGGTGCTCAGGGGCGCAGCAAGCATTACATTGATGACTTGTGCGTTCAGGGAACAACCAGTCGGCGGTAATAAACCGGACGGCATGCATCTGAAACATGATGCTCAGGGGCGCAGCAAGCATTACATTGATGACTTGTGCGTTCAGGGAACAACCAGTCGGCGGTAATGCACCGGACGGCATGCATCTGAAACATGGTGCTCGGGGGCGCAGCAAGCATTAAACATTGATGACTTGTGCGTTCAGGAAATAAAGAACAACCGACGGAAATCAGCCGAACAGCCTACATCTCAATCAGGATGCTGAGTTGAATATAAAAAAAAAAAAAAAAAAAAAATTGAGTGTTCGGGAAGCAAGTCATTCGGAAACGGATCAATCTTTATTCTTCGGCACTACTGGCCGGAAATTATACATGAGGAAGAAAAAGGGGATTACAACAAAGATAACTAGACTACGGGAGGGTCCTTATTCGGCACAGCATCCGAGTTGGAGTTTGGGGGATTGGCTGAATCTTTAGCCTTCTGCCTCTTCTCCATCACCCGTTGGTAAGCACGACAGAATAAAGGATCAAAACCTTCCTCCTTGGGGTCGAAGGGTTCATCGAAAGATTCCTTGATCACCTCCAGATTCCGGTCGACCAGCATATCCTGGCACTTAACAAGGGTGTCCTTTGCTAGAGCATTGGCGAAGGCTGTCCCGGACGGGGTCTCATCAAGAAGCTTAAGGCCATCATGAAGGGGATCCTCAGACTTCTTCAAAAATTCCCCAAGATGTTTCCCGAGGAACTCTCGAGCAGTCTCCTCCAGGGCCACGTTCAGGCCTTTCCCCCTCTGGAATTCAATCACCGCTTTCTTGGTGATCTTGGAAACATCGGCAGTGTAGGGGGCAGGGGGATTCTCCCCCTTGGCCTTTTCAATCTTAAGGCCAGCAGCTTCGGCGGCTTTCACCTTGGCACGCAGATCGCGGATTTCCCGATCACGTCGTTGGAGTCTTTGCTCCAGTTCGGCCAGCTCCTCCCGGGCCTTGTCACCCTTGTTGGCTCGATCTTGGAGATTTGCAGCCATTTTCCTAGCAGCGGCCAAAAGGGTTTGGCTCTCGTCCAGCTCCTGATGAAGGAGGGTCATCTCCCGTTCAGCTGCTAGGAAGGCCCGGTGATAGTATGTACCGGCCTGTGGAAAAAGAAACAGCAGTAAGAACAAATCCAAAAAATGTTATAAGAAGAAAGAACTGAACAGTCAAGGGCATACCTTAAGGGACTCAGTGTGGCCTGCTTCGACCAAATCAGACCAATGGGTCAAGTTGGTAAAGCCCTCGCCAGCCTTCAAAGAAGTGCTGCACCACATGGAGGATGCAGTCTGCCCGAACAGCGTCCGGCATTCGGATCGGGGGCCCATGGCGGAAAACTCCACCGTCAACCGATCGGGGATCGGGAGACTATCTGAAGCAACACCTCTCCTGTTGCCCAGCTTCCTTGGAGGAGAGGGGACCGCAGGCATCCTTTCCACAGAAGGGTCCGTCAGATCAATGACATGATCGACCGGGACCAAGGCTCTGCTGCTCTCAATTCTTGGCCGCTTGTTAACGGGCCCAGATTCCCGGCCAGCGGAAGAACCTGGCTGAATAGCCTTCTCCCTTCCCTTGCTGACTATGGCGGTGGAGGAAGGAGTAGGAGCAGGACGCTTTATGGGAACGGGGGGAATCACACCTACAGGAAAGAACGAAGGGAAATGAACAAGAGATTGAAAAATATACCGAACGAACAAAGTAAGGGAAGAAACATACCAATGCCAGCAGCTAGCATCTTAGCAGGAGTCAAGAAGGACCGTAGGTTCTTGGAACCGGCCAGACGGAGCCTTTCGTACTGGCAGAGAATAGCTGCATCCACCCTTGGGGAGGCATCCTGAACGGGGTAGGTGTTCCACCGGTCAGGGAAAGGAAGCGGCGACCCCACGTGTACGAACACAAATCGTTCCTCCCATTTTTCCGGAGGGGTGGGGTTGTCGGTGAAGAGCGAACGGCCAGGACGGGCCACAAGCCGCAAGTACCCCGGTGGTCCAGTAGGGCTGAACGCCGTAGCAGTGCAAAAACAGATCGGCGCTAGGGGCAATCCCCAACTCATGGCACCAAACGATAAAACCGTTCAGGATCCTGTAGGTGCTGGGCACGAACTGTGCCGGCAGTACTGACACCCGGCGGAGGAACTCCACAACGAACGGGTGCAAAGGGAACCGCAAACCAGCAACCAAGGCATCCATATGCACCAACACACATCCCGGACGGTGTCGCATGGGATGTTTGATGAACCCCGCATTGAACTGACGGGGTGGAGGTAGTAATTGGCGGAGCGTCTGTTCTGCATCAGCAGGAAGGCGTTGACGTTGCTTCCTGATGCAATGAAAGTTCAGACTATAACGGGGGGGCCGTTCAGGCATGCCCTTATTATAGATGGCTAGGTCATCTCCCGACTGACATCCATCATCAGGGAGGGGCTGTTCGGGATGAAGTGAGGCAGAAGACCCGTTAGAACCCGACGATCGGGTAGAGGTACCTTGATCTTTGGGGTGAGCTTTTCCCCTTGAAAGGCGAATCAAAGTGGGTGCCATCTCTTCGGAGTCTGACGAACCAGAAAAGGCAGACATAGAATAACGAAGAAAATTTCTAGAGAGAGAAAGCTTGAAGGAATTCAGAAGCAGCAGAAAAAACTGAAACAAAGTAGCTGCATCCTTATATAAGGAAATGCTACCGCCGGGAATTCGAATGAATAATAGACACGTGTCAAGACGGTTGAGAGAAGTTAAAGCATCCTTTGGGGTGGGTGAACACCCGAACGGGGTTGAAATCAGCAAAGTTCACGAACCTCTAAAAACGTCTCCCCGAACGGGATAAAAGAAAAGGGCTACAAGCGTTTCCCCGAACAGGAAGGGAATTTATAACGGTGGTAAAAATGATGGGCGTACCCGAACAGTATGGTTATCTAACATGGAAGAATATGACAGATACAACAAGGAGAGCAAAATTACATCCCGAATACCGGACACAATTTCCAACTAGTCAGAATGAAAGCTTACGAACGAATGAAAAGGGCACTAGGGTCTTATATTAAGATCATAAGTACAGACTGGACGGGTTCGTTATGAACAACATGCGTTAACAAGATTATTAAGTCCTGAATTCTGGATTTAACAAGGAGTTCACCCGAACAGGTGACCTGATCGCTTCAGATTATGGAGATCACCCGAACAAAGCAACATGAAACGTATTGCGGAGGCGAATTGATAGGTGAAAAACAAATATAAAGTACAGTAAAAATCACAAAGACGAAATGAGCAAGCAAAAGTTGTATATTCATCGGCTCTACTGACCGGAAAGTACAAAAACTACTGATTCAGAGGAAAGGAAATACAGATAATGTCTAATCTATTGTTCGGGATGATCTTCATCGTCTTCATCATCGTCTTCATCAGCCTCATCTACAATCTGCACGACCTCCATCCCCAGGGCTCGCCGGCACTTTTTCATCTGTGCCATCAGGGCGTTCAGATGACCCGGATGGAGGTCAGAGGGAAAGTCGGAGGATTGAACTGATCGGCCCATATACTTTTCTAGGAGGGGGAGGAGAGGCTGGAGCATATGTTGGCAGCCTGAACTGTAGATTCCCCGGGCGAGGATATCAGCCCACTCCTTGGTGACAGGATGCTGATCAAGCACCCTGATCCCCTCCTTCTGGCGCTCCTCTCCGGCCACTTTCTCCAAGTGCCTCCCGAAGACAGCGGGGAGCTGTTCGGTGGCATACTTCTCCTTCAGAGCCAGAAACTCCTCTGAAGCCTGGAAGGATTCCCGAACGGCGGAAAGATCAACTGTCATTTCGGCCGGTCCGTCCGGGATCTGGGGAGGAGCCTCAGAGAATTTGATTTGAGCGGCCTCAGCTGCTGCAATCTTGGCTTGGAGAGCGCCCACTTTAACACGGAGCTCCCCTGCCTCGGCTTCTAGCTTCTTTCGCTCCTCAGCAAAAGCCCGTCGTTCGGCCTCGGCTGCCTGTTCGGCCGTTTCCTTGGCCATCAGCAAGCCTTGTTCCTTGGCCTGCCTGGTCTCCTTGAGCTTCAGGCTGTATATCCCTGCCTAATGATCGAAAAGAAAAGTATGAGTACATGATAAGCTGACAAAACGAAGAAAAAGGTAAAAGTAAATTATGAACAAGAAACTACCTTCAGGACAGTCAGGGCAATGCACTCCTCGATCTCCTCCACCGGTATTGGGGGAAGGTTGTGTCCATTGAGGAAACCAGAGGTGGACCAGATCTGGCTCGCTGGACAGCCACCCCTCTCCAGCATTTCATGAGCAGGATCATAGAGGGAGATCCGCTCGAACTGACTAGCCAGGTCAGCCTGATGGGCAGCCACCTCCTCAGCAGAGAAATGGTGGGACTGCTGATCAGAAAAAAGCTGATCCATCAGCGTGTCAGCATGGGTGTGCTGCTCAGGGGCAACCTGCTGCACAGGTTCTACATCCCGAACAGGTTCAGACTGCTCGGGGACGGGAGGGGCGGATTGAGAGGAGGCGCCCTGATCGGCCTTCCTCAACCTCTTCCTTTTTGTCTTCCTCTGCTGCTTGAGAGGAGAAGTTGGTGGCTCGTCATCAAGTCCAGCAGTGAATAGCCTACTATCATCCATGGCCGGTTGTTCGGGATTGGCTCCTTCGGAATCTGAAGATTCGCCTTGCTTTGGAGCTGAAAAGACAAAAGGAACAAATTAGTACCGAGCGGTTCACACGTGGATTAAAAAATTATATCACACGGGAAGGACCGCCCGGGCCATGGTACTTGGTTTTCAGTCAAGTAAGTCCAGGAATACGGGCAGTACCTATCCCGGCCTTAATTAGCCGTTCGGGAGTCAGGAAAGACATAATTTTGAAGCAGCCTCCTGCCTCCACAGCAATGACATCTCTGCTAAGCTCTTCAGAGATGAATGGCTCGGGGGATTTAGGAGGGAATGCGTTCCACTTCCTAGGAATCAAACCGTTCGGGACAGAGACAAAGAAGAACCTATCTTTCCAACCTTTGATGGAAGAAGGGGCATCGCAGAACAAAATATGTCCTGGTCGGGAGCTTACCACCAGAAAACCGTGGGACTGCTGGGGGATAACTGAAAAGAAATAATGGAAAAGTTCTAGGGTGGGTGTGACCTTGACACTGTGGCAACGACAAATGAAACCGGCTATCGACCGGTAGGAATTCGGCATTATTTGGGCTGGTACTACATTGTAAAAATTTAAGAGAGAGACAAAAAAGGAGTGAAGGGGGAATCTAAGACCAGCCTTGATTGAGTCGAAATGGACCACAACCATCCCTGGGAAGTGGCGCATTGGGTGAAGACCCGATTGAAGACGGAAGTCCACCGAATCAGCAATTAACATCTGAATTTGGGCCCGATTCTGGGCCGTGAGCTTTTGGCGCATAAGCCTGATAAGAGCTAGGTCAAGCTTATGACAGGAAACGCCGCTTGGAGGACCGGCTTCCATGACTTCCAATTCATCCCCCGATTTGGTACCATCAGGGTAAACATCGGAGGAAGAGGAATCATCGCCATTAACCTCCGCCGGAGTACGGACAACTTGCAGCATATCGTTGGGGTTTTCTTCTGGAATTGCAGTACCGGAGGTAGAGGGTTCAGATGAACGAAGGGGTGCCATTCTCACCGAACGAGGGAACTAAACAGTAGAAGGGAACTCGAAGGATACCTGAACAGAAGCTGCGGATGGGGATCTAGAAAGGATGAATTATAAGCCGGAGGTGCAAAGTTTCGAAACCCAGAATCAAAACCAGAAGAGCCTATTTATACTCTGTCACGCCGATTCAGTTACCAATCAGAAAAGGACACGTTTTTTGTAATGATGACGGATACACGTGTCACGCGGATAACCCTTCTCAAGTAATCATGACGTTCATCGGAGAAGTGAAACGGCAGTTGCAAATAGCCGTCAGAATATACCTCGGGAACCGGCGGAATACAATCCGATATTCACCCGAACAGCATTCGGGATAAAGCTTTTACTTCCTTATGCACTCACTACCGTTCGAGACATAGGAAGTGGGGGACTAGTGTTGGGATATTAGGTCCAGGCCCAATATCCCTAGGCCCAAATCCGGGAAGAAGCAGCGGGCCCAAGGCAGTCCAAAGAACTCCCGAACGGCATTCGGGATAAAACTTATACTTGGAACATTCCGGGAAACAATTACATCAAGGTGCCAATGCCCAGATACCGATCGGCGTTCCACTACTAGAAAAAGTCCGATTTGCAACGGAAGAGTGCAACGAACTAAATTTTGTTGCAATAGTGCAATGAAAGTTGCAACGGAATGTAAAAACATTGCAAAATTGCAACTGATACTGCTACGGAAAAAGTTTTCATTGCAAAAGCGACGGAAATTTGGAGGGAAAATAAATTACAACAACTTTTGCAATGGCTAGTCATTTCCGTTGCAAAATTGCAACAAAAATAGCAATAAGATATTATTTAGTTGCAAAGTTCCAAATTTGCAACGGATTTGCAATGAAAATATTACCGATTGCAAATATTTATTTGCAACGATTTTGTCTAGCAACAACAATTTGCAAGAGAACTTATTCCGTTGCAACTTTACAAAAATTAATGAAATTATTTATTGTTTATTAATTTATGGGAGAAAAAATCGTAAACACAATATTTTACTTCCATATAATTTGTTATTATTCCATCCATGCAACAAGTTTTTACTTGGACAGTTTTCAATCCCAGACCATACCAGATTTAAACAGACCGGGCCAGACTTCCGTAGTTATAAAATACAAAACAGACCAGACCAGCTCCGACCAGACTAGATCAGACTAGACCAGATTTCCGTAGTTATAAAAAATAAAGAGACCAAACATTGACTAGATCAGACCAGACCAATTGATCAAATTAGACCAGACTTAAACAGACCAAACCAGATCAGACCCGAACAAACTTAAACAGACCCGACCAGACCTGCAAATTACAGTCCAAGTAAAACATTCTTAAAATACTCAGACTAACACATCAAATAATTACATTTTTAATGAATAATTTTGGATTGGCAGTTAAAAAATAAATAAATTGGATTGACAGTTTGGCATAAAAAATATAAGGAGTACTTCCCTTCCCAGCGAAATAAATTTAAGGTCACCTCCTTACTTCATACTCCGTAACCCTTACACGGCCTTCTTTCTTCTTTGTGCACATGGTCTCAAAAAAGGAAGGCTAAAAAAGAAAGTTAGTAATCCGTAATAGACTAATAGTATTAGGCCCAAGTCCACAATAGAGAAATATATGGAGTAGTAAGGGAGGGAGGTCTTGTACTTTGCCGCTCCTCTGAATTCTCAAATAAGCAACGATTCAAATCATTCAACTAAGGGCACGAAATCACCAACTCACGAAGTCCTGCCGCCAACTGCCGTTTGCAGCCAAGGCGCTCTGTCAAGCCTCTAGCGCTGCTAGCCGCTGCCGCCCGCTGCACTCTAACAGTCCAGCACCTGCACAACACATGCAACGGCTCGCATCCGCATCCTCACAAGTAAGTTATGAGGTTTATCTATTATACTACGTATTTGAATTTAACTTTTAAATTGTATATCATTGAATCATTGATTTTCTTATTATGTTTGGATTATTAATAGATTACTACTATTTATTAATCTTTATTTTTATGTGATATTGTATTTCAATTGCTGACTTTAATTATTTATTAGGGCCATTAGGGCTTAGGCCTCCTAATTAGTTACAGAGTATTTTTTTATTTTGTGTAATTTTTTTGGTGAATTAATTAAACTATTTATATATAATAAATCAATATAAATATGTTATCACTTTACTTTTTAGGATGCGGATTTAAAGTCGTTAAGTCAAAATTAAATTCACTTTTATCTTAAATTAGTAAACATGCATGTACATGATTATAGGAATTGTATTTTCAAAGAAATATCAATCTGGACATGAGAAATTCAAAAGAAAAGAAGATTTGAAAATTTAACTTTGTCTCAAAGAAGAGCTTTTGATAAATTCATTATCAAAGAAGGCCTGTTTCTTTTTTATCACACAAGGTCTCTATTTTTCCAGGATCGTCCTTCTTGAAGATTATTGAAACCAGACATTTTGATTCTCAAATTTCGAGTAAATTCAAGATAAATTGCTACACTAGATTTTCAAGATAAGAGACTTTGAATCATAAACAAATATTTTTTAGTTAAACCTCAGAGACCACTCACTTTCTTGACTTTGAACTGCACTCTTATCTTCTTCTCTATTTAATCTATCACCTTTGAGATTTCAGTCTTTGGGGCTATACATTGAAGAGTCTTAGCGGCTAGACTAGTGGAGGGTGTTAGCTACTTTGAGATTTCAGTCTTTGGGGATATAATAACGTTTTATTGGGATGAGTTTAAGGTACTTTTTCAATCATTTATCTTATATTTTGTATTTTTAACTATGAACAATCAAGAAAAGATAATTGGCAGCTAACAATTGTTATAGTAGTATTTTAGTTGACTTATATTAAATTTACAATGAACTGTAGAAGCATTGCGCTGCTATTGGAATCCTATAATAGAATCTTTAATAAAGGCAGCGTGGACTACAAAAGCTAAACAAAGATATTCCCATGATCTCAGTAATATGAAAACAGGAAGATGTAAGAGGAATTCATCAATCACTCAAGAAGTTTGGGACAGTTGGATGACTATGTGGAGTAGTGAAGAATTTCATAAGAAATCTAATCAAAGCAAAAAAAATAGGCGTCAAGGTGAATTAGAGAAGACTGCCCCCTCTGCTCGTACTAGTGGGGCCATATCTCATACCAAATTGCCAGTCAATTGTAAGTTTATTAAAACTATTTTTTTGTTTTTTTGCTATCAACGAGTTTGCTTATGACATTGCGTTTTGACCCTGTTCAACTTGAGCTCCTTATTCCTTCTTGAAACTACATGTTACACTAGTTATTAATTATCTCTATTCAAACATATATACCTTGATTATGCATTTTAAGAGAATATATGATATGAATTTATTTTATTTAGCTTCTATTTGCTAAACCCTAGTCGTCCCAGTGACAAAGGTTATGCCTCCTACTTTTTGAAAGCTGAAGGGCATTTTGTCATATCCATAAAGGCGAATTGCATAGATAACATTGTACCTGCTGAGGCTAATCACATTTGAGCGTGATCATGCTTGTGCAAAGCTGAAGAGCAGGTTACCCTTGAACCGTTTGAGCGTGATCATGCTTATGATGTTGGCGGTTACAGGATGCCCAAGAAGCAAAAGCCAACTTCTTAGATTTGTAGCAGGAACAGCGTCTTATGTTGAATTCAAACTTTAGGATTGCTTCAAGCCTTGCATTGTTTTATTTTTATTTTGTTCTTAATTTTATCGTACAATTTCACAGCATGCATTATGGTTTCTTTATTAGAAAATTTTCTTGACCCATTTT